TTCTCTTATATCCGGGTTTGGTTTATTTTATATACATTAACATAGGCTCTAATTTGGGACCAGAGAAAATCTCTCTTATATCCGGGTTTCTCTTATATCCGGGTTTGGTCTATTTTATATACATTAACATAGGCTCTAATTTGGGACCAGAGAAAATCTCTTATATCCGGGTTTCTCTTATATCCGGGTTTGGTCTATTTTATATACATTAACACAGGCTCTAATTTGGGACCAGAGAAAATCTCTTATATCCGGGTTTCTCTTATATCCGGGTTTGCTCTATTTTATATACATTAACATAGGCTCTAATTTGGGACCAGAGAAAATCTCTCTTATATCCGGGTTTCTCTTATATCCGGGTTTGGTCTATTTTATATACATTAACATAAGGCTCTAATTTTGGACCAGAGAAAATCTCTCTTATATCCGGGTTTCTCTTATATCCGGGTCTCTTATATCCGGGTTACACTGTATAGATTTTCTTTTTGCACGAATTTCTTTTAGCATTGTTTGCGAAATGACTATGTGTGTTAAACAATATTTTCAATGTATTTGCAAAATCTTCCACTATCCTAGTTATTTAATAAAATAAGTGTACAAAATAAAGAAAAGGTAAAGAAAGTATAAGCAACGTCAAAACTAGGCTCATTATTATTTCTTCAAATCATTTCCCCCAAATAACGCAACAAAGGTACCAAGACGCAGATTGAGACTTACCGAGTGTTAGAGAATATGAGAGAAACCCTATTAGGGAGAGAGAACTATAAAAGGACAAGAATTAAGAAAAGAGAAGAGAACGATCGACATTGCATTTGAATTTTTGATCAAAGTTATCTGGGAAGCAAGAAACCGGAAGCAAGTTTGATAGAAGGAACTGTTAGCATAGAACTTACGGTTACATCTAGCAACTGTAAAATGATGAGACAATCTAGTACTGCGCTTAAATTCTGTTGTGGATTCCGGGAATGGAATCCTGTACAAATAAATAAACAATGCCAGAAATTGAGATAGAACAATAAGTGTATTAAACGTAAGAATACAGACTTGAAGTGAAGATTAGTCGTCCAGGAATGCGGGTTAGTAGAAAGTATATGTACAAGTCTCTGTAAGTAAAGCCGTAATATCTCTCTCTCTCTCTCTCTGTCTATCTCTCTCTCTCTCTGTCTCTGTCTCTCTCTCTCTCATATAATTCTCTGAGAACACCCTGTGTCTGTCTCCGTATCTCTCAACCTGTCTCAACGTATCTCTGTATTTAATATCCCACCCACGAGGAATATATGTGGCACAAGGCCGAGTTTAAAGTGGGTTTCTCCGAGCCCGTAGGCTCGGCCAAAAATATACCCTATGAACCCGCCGAGACGGGTTCAGGGCCTTTCTACCTCCCCGGACGAAACCTTGCTCTTCGGCAAAGCTTCGTCCGGGTTCCTCTCTGCCAAAGCAGAGCGTTCGACAGACGTCGAGACTGTATCTCGACGTGTCTCAACAGCAGGCATTCTCTCTGTCAGTATAAGTATACTTTGGACGAGTCCATCTTATGTAAAAAGGGGAGAGCCCCACAACAAATTCATAAAGTTTAGATACCACAGTGGCAAGTTAATCAGGAAATATTATATGTAAGTACGGATAACTGAAAGCTTTCAAATTAGTTACTTAGAAAAGATGCTCATTTTTTCCCATACCCGTTAAGCTTCACCTGCAAATTCTAGGGTGAGATTTCTTTGAAAAAAAAATACCTAATCGTACAGTCAACTATGATGGTTGTAATATTAGTAGCAGTAGTATATTCGCTATTGGTTCACAAGTGTTTAGACGCCCTTAAAATCGAGTAATCGTCGTCGTAGCTGTGGAAGATGCAATGACTATGATAACGACGGCAAAGATGCTAATGGTATCAGTGCTCGTTACACATGATAGCCTTTCTAGCTGTAGACATTTGCACTGCTGCTGCCCCTGGTCCAAGCAAGCAGCAATGTTTAGGTTTATTGATTGTCATGTGTTAGAGTTGGTGAGAGAATTTCGGTGGTTGGCCTCGTCTACTCCCAGAACACATCAACTCTCACCAGCCGATATTGCTGCTCTATTCACCAGTCGTTGTTTGCCTCTTGCAATTGACACTTCTTCCCGCTCGCAGTCAAAGCAGGATGATCTTTACATCCACTACCTTGTTGGGGAGCTTTATCGTAAGGAGTCTTGGAGACGACGGGAAAAGTATAAACGGAAACAGAGAAATAGGACAGATACACACAGACAGAATTGTCTTGTTTATTCATCTCCCCACAAAGGCAAATAAGAAACAAAGCCGGCTTAATGTTTTTATTCCACAGACTTTTCCATGTAGGCGTGTTCATAAATTACTCAATCCTATCGGCTTTCTTCTGCAAGCATCAGTTTGCATCCTTTGACCCTGCCCAGTTCACATAATATGGGGGCTGGATTAACTGACATCTTCATGAGGATAAATATGACACAAGATCGGTTTAATGTGGGATACCACAAGGTTTTAAGTGTGAGTGTGTTCAGAATGTGTCCGATCAGGCCGTGTTTTGCAGCACACATCCGCGCCTATCGACGGCTGATCCTGCGTCGTTGGTGCAATGTGAATATGATGCCTGAGTAGCAGAACCTTAAGGACCAGACAAGCTTCCTTTTATATTCTTTCATGCTTGATATGAACAGACTGAGATAGTTAGATAGATATGAACAAACTGATATATATATATATATATATATATATATATATATATAGAGAGAGAAAGAGATAGAGAGAGAAAGTTATGAAGATAGATAGATAGATAGTTATGAACATAAATAGATAGATATATATATATATATATATATATATATATATATATATATATATAGAGAGAGAGAGAGAGATAGAGAGATAGATATGAGATGAGATAGATAGATAGATAGATAGATAAATATGAACAGACTGATATAGATAGATAGATATGAACAGACTGAGATAGTTAGATAGATATGAACAAACTGATATATATATATATATATATATAGAGAGAGAGAGAGAGAGAAAGATAGATAGATAGATAGATAGATAGATAGTTATGAACATAGATAGATAGATAGATATGAACAGACTGATATATATATATATATATATATATATATATATATATATAGAGAGAGAGAGAGAGAGAGAGAGATAGATATGAACAGACTGAGATAGATAGATGATAGATAGATAGATAGATATGAACAGACTGATATAGATAGATGATATGAACAGACTGAGATAGTTAGATAGATATGAACAAACTGATATATATATATATATATATATATATAGAGAGAGAGAGAGAGAAAGAGAGATAGAGATAGATAGATAGTTATGAACATAGATAGATAGATAGATATGAACATAGATGATATATATATATATATACAGATATATATATATATATATATATATATATATATATATAGAGAGAGAGAGAGAGAGATAGATATGAACAGACTGAGATAGATGAGATAGATAGATAGATAGATAGATAGATATGAACAGACTGATATAGATAGATAGATATGAACAGACTGAGATAGTTAGATAGATATGAAGAAACTGATATATATATATATATATATATATATATATAGAGAGAGAGAGAGAGAGAGAGAGAGATAGATAGATAGATAGATAGTTATGAACATAGATAGATAGATAGATATGAACAGACTGATATATATATATATATATATATATATATATATATATATAGAGAGAGAGAGAGAGAGAGAGATATGAACAGACTGAGATAGATAGATAGATAGATAGATAGATAGATATGAACAGACTGATATAGATAGATAGATATGAACAGACTGTGTGATAGATAGATATGAACAAACTGATATATATATATATATATATATATATAGAGAGAGAGAGAGAGAGAGAGAGAGAGAGAAAGATAGATAGATAGATAGATAGTTATGAACATAGATAGATAGATAGATATGAACAGACTGATATATATATATATATATATATATATATATATATATATAGAGAGAGAGAGAGAGAGAGAGAGAGATAGATATGAACAGACTGAGATAGATAGATAGATAGATAGATAGATAGATAGATAGATAGATATGAACATATTGAGGTACATTGATAGATAAATAGATGCTGAAAAAACTTAGATAATGAACTGACCTAGATAGATAGTAGATAGATCATAAAAAAAGACTTAGACATTCAGTGAAAAGACTTAAATAGATAACGAACAGGCTTCGATAAACAGATAATGAACAGAGATAGACAGATACATGGACAGATTGATAGATTGATTGAGAGATAATGAAAAGACTGAGAAAATGAAATGACATAGATAGATAGATAGATAGATAGATAGATAGATAATGAATAGACTGAAATAGATAGATAGATAGATTGATAATGAATAGACTGAAATAGATAGATAGATAGATAGATAGATAGATAGATAGATAGATAGATAGGAGTACTGAAAGTTGTCTTACCCCGTCCTAATTTCTCAAATGTCTTAAATCGGCCCCCATTTTCAATGAGCAAACATCAGAAATTTTATGTATATCGATTAATGTAACCCAAGAAACGATATGCAAGGTGAATATATGACATAGCATGTGAGTTTCGTGACTATAGCTTATTTTTCTGGTTTGGGCTGAAAACATTCAAGTAAGATTTCGTAAATCGATAGAAACACGTCATAATTTAATACATCACTATTAATTAATGGGATATTGCTATTAATACACAGTACTATATTTATTTAATGCTGTATGATATTTAACAGAATACCCAGCCATCCTGAATGCGGCACAAGGCCATTTTTTTTAAAGTCGAGGACGTCGGTGTCTGTTGGTATTAGAAACATGATGGGACGGAAATTTGGGAGTTTTTCAAAATCTGTATTAAGGAACATTTTGTAATTTTATTATATATATATATATATATATATATATATATATATATATATATATATATATATATATATATAGAGAGAGAGAGAGAGGAACATTTTGTTATTATATATATATATATATATATATATATATATATATATATATATATATCCAAGTATATAATTGGTGTATTCGGAATGAATTCCAATAACCAACAATTACTATTCTTAAAAGAGTGCTCAATACAAAGTAGAGCAGATATAATTATTTATTTTTAAAAAATTTATAACATAGTATATTATAAAATCACTACAAAAATAGCCATTTTGTTTCAACACCCCTGACTATTTTTGTAGTGATTTTATAAAATACTTATGTTATAAATTTTTTTAAAATAAATAATATATATATATATATATATATATATATATATATATATATATAATATATATATATATATAGAGAGAGAGAGAGAGAGAGAGAGAGAGAGAGAGAGAGAGAAAGAGGAAGAGAAAGATTGACCGAGTGGTTAGAACGTTCGCTTTCTGACCATGAGACCAGGGTTCGAATCTCCCTATGATCGATTTGTCCGGAAGACGACATCCTGATGTCATCGGAATGGATCGAGGTCGATCCCAGAGTATGGTACCTTTGGAGAATGCATGTAAACCGTACCACGGATTGACCCAAGCCTTGTGAGTGAAATTGGGTAGACATAACTCTTGTTGGCCTTCAATAGTCGCGCTAGCACAAAGCCACAAGTTATCGTGGCTTGTTTTCAAATTGTTGATCACGCTAGATAACTCGCTCACCCCCAGAAACTGTAACTAACATCTGCTCAGCATAGTTGCAGTATGTGGGTGTGGAGCCAACACAAATGTACCTGAGCGATCGTCCGCAATAGGGATTGGGTAGCCGCCCTAGTAGACGGGTATCCTCGAATACTAGTGGCCAGCTATTATTATATAGATTGATATCATTAAGGTAGCATAAACCTTTGGAAGGATCTGATGTGGCATTTACTTTCTACTGAGCCTTTATTTCATTCTTTCTTTGTAAAACCTGTGATGTCCGTAAGCGTGATTATGGTATCGGTCAAGACTTGAACTCCGACTGCACGTCGACCAGGTAAATTCTAACAATAGGCCTACAGAAGCACAAGGGCATCACAGGTTTTATAAAAGAAGAATGGAATAGAAGCACAGTAGAAAGTAAATTGTCTGCATGAGGCGGGTACTTTTGAAAAATCGCCTTCCGAAATTGCGTCTTTCTCCATGGTCCCTACTGCGGACACCTGCTCAGGCACATTTGTTTTTGTTCAAAACCCAAGGAATCCATCTGTGGTTTATACTGCAAGTATGCTAAGTGGACTTTAGTAATAACTAGCAGTAGAGCCCGGCGTTGCCCGGGGATGTAACAGTAAGGATAGATCAAGTATCGACCATCATAAAGACTGAAAAATAAAATTGACAAAGATTATTGTTTAAGGTTGATGGACACGCATGTCTTAATTATTTCTATTTTTTTGTTTTTTGTTGTTTTTTTTTTTACGAATTGGTCAAACCCAAACTCAAACAAAAACATTATGAGTCTACCGATTGAATAGAATTTTATTATAAACAATTGTTTTGTAAATAGAATTTTTAAAGCATTCTGAATGTAAAAATAAAGAAAAAAGTGTGTAAGACAATAAGAAACACTACCTGCCAAAAAAAAGTGACGTTTTGTTGAAATCGGTTGAAAAATGTAGGAAATCCGATCCCATATATAAACGAACACACACACACACAAACAAACTGGGTTTTATAATAAGTATAACTCGATATGACAGAATTGTGTTTTCAAATTGATTTCGTGCTAAAACAATAGAGTTTTTTTCCAATTTTTGGCGTTGTCAGAACCACTGCAAGGTAATTTTACGCAGTCCTGTGAAGTTTTGTTGAAATCGGTTGAAAAATGTAGGAAATCCGATCCAATATATAAACGTACACACACACACACAATCTGCGTTTTATAATAAGTAAGATTACTGGGAGAGAGCGAATTATCTGGAGTGATCAAAATTTGAAGAAGGCAAGTACTCTCAAACTCAGTCACGATGACTTATGACTTCGTGTCTGAAAACCATACCCCGCGTTAAATCAAGTCGTGTGATTGAAATTGGGTAGATAGAATTATTTGAGAGTTATTCAATATATTGACTACTTGTTAAAAAATCTATTGAAAATACTTTACTTGAGATAAGGCGTTGCATAGTGAAACAATAAACAACGCGTGTTTAGTAAGATGTTCGATATTAGAACAGAAAAGAAGAGGCTTTTTTTTAGAAAGAGAAGAAAAAGAGAAATGATTGGAAGATTCGGAAATGCCAGAAATTGGGATAAAACAAGCAGTAAAGATGAAACAGTTGTTTGCTGAAATTAATAACTATGTGAATTAATTAGTGAATGATTAATGATAATTAATGGATGATTAGTAAAAAGCAACAACAAAAAAGTCAACCTTAAAGGTTAGTAAGTCAAGAAGCGATGAATTGATCAAATGTTACTTGGATATTATTGGCAGTTTCATTAGGGAGAGAGGCAAACACTGAGAAAAATATCTGACATGCATTATATGTTGTTTGTAGCTTATTGAAATAAATGTGCAGTTACGCGTAGTCACGCGCGCATGCGTACATAATTAAGCTTGGTTTGGCAAAAAACCGACAAATTTGAGTGTCGGATGATTATTTTTATAAAAATCTTTTTAGTAAGTAGAATATACATATATATATATATATATATATATATATATATATATATATATATATATATATATAATAAAAAGGCTTAAACACTAATATTCCATGGTCATAATTTGTTCCATTGGAATCGTAAATACGATCCAATTCATCAGACCTACAAATTCAAAAATAAAATAGAAAAAACAACTCTGAAAATGAAAAAATAAAATTTAGTGAGAGTGTATGTATGAAATTTTATTTTTTATTCCCGGAGTTGATGAATTGGATCGTATTTACGATTCCAATGGAATAAATTATGACCATGGAATATTAGTGTTTAAGCCTTTTTATTATATCCTTACTCTCTCCTGGACATTGAGTTCTACCTGGATTCTGTCCTCTTGGAATTATATTTTATACAAATATATATGTATGTGTATGTATGTATGTATATATATTTATATATTTTAGATATATGATTGCATATGTATGTGTATATTTATCACTAATATTATTAATCTCTCTCTCTCTCTCTCTCTCTCTATATATATATATATATATATATATATTATAATTTTTTTCATATGGACAAAAACAATTTACTCACTACAAAGATGCAACCTTGTTTCGTTTAGTTGCACCTCGACTGATGAGAACCAAAATTGTTAAATGTACCGAAACAAGGTTGCATCTTCGTAGTGAGTAAACTATTTTGGTATGTATGAAAAAATTATAAATTATTGCTCTACTCTCTATTGATCCCGCTTTTGAAGTAAGGCTGTGAACGTTAGAATGCATGCATTACATTCATATATATATATATATATATATATATATATATATATATATATATATATATATATGATTCTCCCGTCGAATTCGACGTATGAGGGTCAAGCAGATCAGTTCGCAGGAAACCGACAGCCCGACAACAGCACATGAGAATTGATTATAGTGGTGAAAGTTTAATGCAGGACCATCCACACTTTTTGAAGGGCCGAACAGAGAGACCTGGTGCGCTACGTGCCACAAGGTCCCTAAACGACCCTCGGCAGGTTTTGAATTCAGAGTTGTCCTTCTCCTTGTCCTGCTATTTACACATAGCTGGGGGGGAAGAAGAGGATTCACACCTTTCCCAAGGTTATTACCACGTAAGTGAATGTAACGGATTCCTCAATCCAAGCCGATATCCATTACTCCACCGTGCCTCCTCTCTCTCTATATATATATCTATCTATCTATATATATATATATATATATATATATATATATATATATATATATATATATATATATATATATATATATATATATATATATATATATATATATATGTACCCAGGTATATGATTTGTGTATACGGAATAAATTTTAATAACCAACAATTACTATTCTTAAAAGAGTGCACAATACAAAGTAGAGCAGATATAATTATTTATTTAAAAATTATAACATAAATATGTTATAAAATCACTACAAAAATAGCCATTTTGTTTCAACACCTCCGGTGTCTTATCAAGTGATGATGTTGAAGGCATTTAATGTTTTATTGAATTTTAGATAATTTGGCTTTAAAAATTTACTATAGGTACCGCTCTTATTTTCTGATACTGTCGTGTATCAACATCCATATCTACAAAAGTCGGCACGTTTATGCACATGCCAAAATAATTCAAAATTCTACTCGGTGACCTTAAATTGTAATAAGCTTTTCGACTTTTGATTAGTAAATAAAGTTTTCACTTAATAACAACATTTCTTCAGTTATGCATCATTGAAACAGAATTTTAAAAGATTTAAAAACTATAAATTATTCTAATTAAAACTTTGAAAAATGAAAATAAATCTTGTAAAAATTCTTTATTCATCGAAAAAATGTTTCTTAAGACAAATAGTGTCCTTAATATATCTTAGTCCTAAAAGCCATTAAAAGCTTTCCTAATTAAATGTCTTAGTTTTATTGCATTTTTATTTTACGATTCAGAGCAGATTCTCGGGCAGACGATGTCCGGTTTTACAAAAATAAAACCGATGATTTGAATTCTCCAAAGAATTCTGCTTTTAACTAATATAGTCATTAAAAATTATCTCGTTGAATTTCTCCAGTTTTTTCATAAAATTAAATAAGTGGGCTGTAACACGTGTAAAACAACAACAAAAATGATTAAGTTTTGTCAAGATTTTCTAAAAAAAAAAAAAAATTTCTAAAATAATTTCATTCATTTGTAAGTCCTGAAAGTTTCATTAAAATCTAATAATTATTTGATTTTTGCAAGAATTTCAAAATCAATGTTTCTTTCACTCTCAAGAAAGACGCTAAAATTTTCTATGCTAATTTATAGTCCAAACTATTTATATTTCGAACGTGCTAAAAAGGATAAAAAATATAATTAAATAATCAAAAATATTTTGTTCTTTCCTTTGAATAATAACAAAGATTTTGACGATAAAACTGTGTTTTTATCAAGATTGGGGTATTTTTTTTCATTATAGTAAGGTTTGTTTTGGCGAATTAATGGATATATATATATATATATATATATATGTATATATATAAGCAAATATATGGATATAGATCCGACAGTATGAAGAAAAATATACGGAAAAAACAAACAAAAATCTTAATATGCAAATATGCTGTTTTAATGTTAATATAATGTCAACGTCGGACGTTTCGGTCTAATAGACCATTTTCAGGACATATTCATAAAATATAATTAACATAGTCCATATTCAATTCAACATGAAAAACACGATGGACATAAAAGATCTGTTTGGATTGGTATTGCTTTTATGTCCATCGTCTTTTCATGTTGAATTAAATATAGTCTAATTTTAATTATGTTTTATGAATATGTCCTGAAGAAGGTCTATTAGACGAAATATTAGGATTTTTGTTTGTTTTTTACGTATATTTTTCTTCATATATATATATATATATATATATTAAAAACATTTTTATGTTTAACATTCTTTTTATAGATACAAGTATTTAAGTAAATGCTCTGTTTATAATAAACAGTATTAAATAACATTTACCGGCCTGAATGTCCGAGAAATTTTCATAGAAAATATTCGTCCTTTGACAGGATTCGAACTTGTATCCTATACGAACCGTCATTGAAAATTTCTCGGACATTCAGGCCGGTAAATGTCGACCTTGTCTACCGAACGCTCCTTTGTGGCCGGTCGAAAGGCACGTCAGCGTAAATGACGGTTCCGTATAGGATGCAGGTTCGAATCCTGTCAAAGGACGAATATTTTCTATGAAAATTTCTCGGACATTTGCCATGTTTAATGGATATCAGTTATCTCCTATTAATTCTCTTCTCCAAGTTCTCCACTGCCTTAACCGGATATTGAACTCACACTCTTTGGGTCCTGTCACTGGATCTAACCAACGCCTTTATAATTGACATTAAATGGCCGAAACGTTGTAATAAATATGGCGATAAAGATGAGGACTATAGTCCGAATATTGTAAATACTGTTCAGATCTGTTTTACAAAAATAAAAAAAAAACATGTTCAATTTATTCGGACGCAAAGTGA